GGGGTAAAAGAGGTTTGATATTTCTTCAAACACAAGCAACAATATTAGGCATCTCAATTTAGGAAAAATACCCTGGAAACATATGTTTTCAAAAAGAAAAAAATGTCATCTTTTTTGCTTACAACTAGACCATTACAGTTCACAAACATATCACTGAAAGATATATGTCAATACTCCTTACGTTCGACATTTGAAATTGAAGAAAATCAATAGAAACATGAATCAAATATCACAGAAACGAAAACACTAATCCAACCAAAAAAGCATGAAAACATAAATTCAACAAACACAATAAAATATATGGCACTAAAATTAGTGCTCCACTTCAATCTTTCAATCTAAATGTATGTTAAGTCATTGTCACCTCAATGTTGTCTTCATCATTAGCGTTGATATCTTCCTCATCTTAAAGACATAAATCATATTTAGGTGCAGATTCAACAAAACAATGACATAAGTATATCATAAACATGAACAAATAAAGTTTATTTGGAATCCTACCCATGATTTCCTTAAGCTTGATCCTTTCTTTATCATATATTTTTTCAATATCTTGCACCATGGTATTCCTAGAGACCGTTTCAATACATGGATTCAAATATTTCACCCAAACGTAGATTTTTTTTATACTCAACAAAGCTAAAAGGAAGATCATGTGCAATAATGGCTTTTCCTAGTAATTCACGACGTGTGTTTTGGTTGATTGGGGTTAGGCTTGACGTTTCCTATAGGCTAAGAAGGCTCATTTAGAAACTTTTACAAATAAATACATGGGGACTTAAATGTGAAGTTCCATAATTTTGTCCAGACTTGAGATTTTTTCCAATGGCAAAATCAGTACTACGAAAATTACATGCAGCTCTTTCAACTCCATCTTTTTCTTTGCCGATTTAAGTGAAAATAATCTAAAGTGTTGACAATACTTTCTTACGAGTTTCATCTTGACCTTGTGCGTACTCATTCATATTCATTGACTCCATACTATAACAAAAAGAACGTGTGTTATAACAAAAAGAAGATACATTCGTTAAACTATATCCTTATATATGTTTATAAAACATTAATGGACACCCGGATTAATGAAATGAAAAGAAGAAGGATCAATTAGAAGAGGGGGAGAAACACTTAGAAGTGCAAGTGTATTATGTAGAGAAATTAACACTTTTTTTCAATATAATTCCAAACTTGCTTTTAAAATATAGACAGAAGTGGAAATTTCTAAGACTGCATCCAGGCATGGCTTCCTAAACTAGACTGGTGTCAATTTTGGATCTATTGGCACAGATGTTAGCGTTAGATTTAAATTCGGTGCAATTTTTGTATCATGCAGCTTAGTGTTTAAGGCTCGTTCACTCAGTTTCTCAATAATACAAACCATATACATTGAACATTCATACTCATGATAAAGAAACAGAGAAAAAATGAAGTAGAAAAAGAGAGCATGGATTTAGCATCAAGAAAATAACAAAACATATTCTCATATTGAGTTTCAATGCAAAACGTAGAATATACCAGCAAAGGTAGGAAAAGGTGGAAAAATATAATCATGTTAAAAATTAAGTTATAAGAAAGCATACCAGCAAAACTCAAATTGATGTCATATGAATGCATCCTTGGTTTTGTTCAATCGGTTTCTTGCACTTGGGACATAACTTTGTGTTAGCAAGTATCCTGAAAGTCCATTAAGTTAACTGTTAGCTCTAGATCTTGATAGGGTCAAAGTTGTCACCATCTGGGTGAAGGTTGGTAATGGCCGCCACGTCAAAGAGCGTGGGCGTCAACATTCTGTAAGAAAGTTGAAAGGTGTTGGTAGTGCTCTCCCAATAATAAAGGGAGGCGACAAGTATGTTTTGGTAATAGGTAGGGTCCGTTCTTGACAGTTGAAACAAGTCAAAGATGCCCATTTATTTTCAGACATCACTCATTTTTCCTTCTACTTATCTAACCATGAGATATAGTCGTTATGTTTTCGGTTGGGGAAGTAAAACGAAAAACTCGCAAAGTGTTGGTTTGGTATTCTAAGTCCATGAGTTCCTTAATGCTAACTACGGATTTAGTCCTATGGCAAGAAGGAAAGAAGTCTTTACACTTAGTGAGACCCTCTATAGGGTCAAGCATAGGACCCATGAGAGCATGATCAGTTTCGAAAATGTTAAAAGGGATAAGTACCTGAGACTTGTAAATTCAAAGTTTTTCTTCAAAGTTTGGAGGTTCTGGGACGTATTCTCGATTCCCTATTGCAGTGACCTTGTTCAACATGTATGTTTGAGGAAGAGTCTCTTTGGGGGCCTTGACGTTCTTGTAAGAGTTCCATTATTGAGATTCTGAAGTTTTCTAAAGAAAATTTGGAGAAGAAGATTTTTGAAATGAAGATTTCAGAGGAAATGTTGGAAAAGTGTTGAAAATGTGAAGACGCATTATTTATAGTGGGATAAGGTGAGACTCTTCAGTCCCCTTAACTGAGTAGTTGGGGCAAGCGGGGGTCACGTGGCATTTCCCTACAGGAAGAAGTTAGGGCGTTCTGCTACGTGTAGCTACACTACCCTATGAATCCGACGCCATGATGAGTAGAGGTATGTAGGAGTGGGAAATAGCACATTTTCGAGGTGACAGTTGAAAGAAACGTCATGATGGGAATGACGTCAGCCCACTAGGTGAATAATGGCTAGAAGGTCAAAAATGCCCCTATCTCCTAGAATCGTCGAAAGAGACCTTTTTGGGGGAGAAATTTATTAGTTGGGATTTTAGACTAAGGGAAAACCCCTAGAAAATAAGGGCAAGCTTGAAGAAGTCTCGGTTCGACCAAGAGTCTGGACTTTAGTGAAATTTTTAGATGCTTCAAAAGACGTTTCGTCTAAGTGTCGTCATTGACCGCGTGGCCCGTGCGACAGTGACAAAGTGGTTGACAAGGCAATTGTTTGGGGGTGTAGTCTCACGTTCAATATTAATAAATGCATTAAGGTTTTCTTCTGAAGAGACACGTGGAGGAAGCACGAAGATGGGTTGCATGTAGAGCTTCACGTGGAGAACTCTAAAGATAGAAACATTAGGAGTAACTATTTTATACTTGTATATATAAGAGTTAATTAGGTTGAACTCAAGGGATTCATTGCATTACAAAAATCTCACTGAAAACTCAAAGTATCAACGTTAAGAAAAACGAGTGAATGACTGAGAGAATGTAAGAGCAAATGAATCACCACATTTTGGTTTCGATGCAAAATTTCTAATTTTTACTTTACACTTAATTCATGTTCTTTACTTCTAAATTTCTTTTAAGTCTTTCATTCAACATTTCTAGTATTTATCTTTTCTTTACACATTCGTGAAGTAGTCAAAGTTCTCACACATTCTTATAGTTATATGAAACCATATTTCGACCAAGTCGAAAGCAGTCACTCTAAATACAAGAAAATCAAAGACGAAGTGGTTATTCGACACTATGTCCTAAGATTCACTGGTTGATCCTGCAAGTAACCCTTAATATGGAGATCAGCGGTTGTTTACCATTTTTCAGCGTAAACACCCATATGTTATAGTTTGCTGATCTGATCATTTTTTCACATGGTATAAGCAGAATTGTAGCAAACGAGAGAAAACCAGTGTCTCTCATGACTTAAAGACACAAAATGGGAGTTGTTTGAACTAGAGTACAAATTTCTGAAAGTCAAAATGAAAAACGGAGACCAGATCTATGACCGATGGAAAAAACTGAGTGGGCGCCCGTAAAAATTGCCGGATCGGGAGGCGGATGCGTGGTCACGCGCTGGGAGGATGATGATGCACGAAGCTCACGCGTGTGGATGGTGACGGTGAGTGGGGCTTCTGCTCGCAGCGGGCAAAAGTGCGGTGGCCGGATCAGAGGGAGGCGAGTCGGAAGATGGAGTCAGTTTTCTGAAACATCACTGAAAGGTTCTCGGAATAGTTACAGCAGCAGTAGCGATAAGGTGGTTACCAAAGAATTTTGAAAAGTGAGAGGCAAACCAAAGTGATGACACGATTTGCAAAAAGAAAATTCACCGGATGGCAGTGGGTCAACCGGGTAAAGCATGGTGAAAAAAAATTATCTTTTAGTAGGCTCTAGATACCATATTGAATTAGGAGAGACTAAGAGACATTTAGGATAAGCCGTGTGTTTGAATAGCATAGTGGAAGATGTATTATATAGGAAAAAAATACAGCTCATACTATTAATTACATAACTATCCTATTCTATTATTAGAATACATTGAGCAATATTCTCTAGAGAATATTCTCTTTCTATATATACATATATAAATATCAACAGGAGTCATGTTCCAAGTGTACCCTGAATCTATAATCCCCTCCTTGTTAGAGTTGTTGCTAGACACTACCAAGACATCAGAAGATTCATAACCATCCTGAACAATGGTTGCATTTCCATTATCCTTTCTTTTTTACCATAGTTCTTCAGTCTATCAGGGAACATCTTTTTTGTATGATCTCCTTTTTTACAATGATAACACCTTATAGCAGGAGCATCACCGCCATGGTTGTCAAAATCTAGATTTAAATCGTAATATCTTAAGATCTTATGAGTTTTCACCATGCTCCGCGGCGGAGCGCAACAAAGATCGCTGGAGAAGGCGGCGCGGTAGAAGCACAATGTAAGATCGTAAAAACGTGAAAGCAAAGATCTATTTCGCAGTGGAAAATTTGTCTAACCCGTTTCGACCCGACCCGGTCCAATGCCCATCGAAGAAGGTGACCCGTTCAGCTTTTTCTACCAGCTGTTTCACATTAAATTAGCCGTTTTTCATTATTAAAAGTCAGAATCTGTTGCTATCTATAAGGCTGATTTTTTGGGAGAAATTAAAAATCAATCTGAAAAATATCAATTTATTAAATGATATCATTTATTCTTCTTCAATTCCATCTATAAATCAATCATACGATTTCTATTCAATCATCAACTTCTTTTCTCCTTTAGTTATACGATCTCTCATCATACCTTATATTCTACCACACTTTTTTTTCCAATGTCTTCATCAATTCCAGTTCATGCATCCTCATCTACACCACCAAAAGTTCAAAAAAATGTTCCTGGAAGCATAACTGATATTGCTTGGAAGCATGGTGTCTCTGTTGATGGAGGAACACGAAAAATCAGATGCAATTATTGTTCAAAGGAAGTAATCGGAGGAGTGTACAGGCTGAAACATCATTTAGCTTGTACACAGATAAACGTTGGTGCGTGTAAATCTGTACATGATGATGTTAAATTCCAAATGTGGCAGATTTTAAAGTCTCTGCAAAACAATTTGCTAAAAAAAACAGAGGATACAAATGAAATAGTAACAGGAAAGAGGCCATTGGAGGATGATGATAATGTTGCGCCTGCAAAAAAAATTTACGAAGAAGGGCATGAATACGCAATCCACCATCAACTCCATCTTCAAAAAGAATTTGAGAGAAGAAACATGTCTTGAAATTGCTTCATTCTTCTACAACAGTGCCATAACTTTTAATGTGGCAAAAAGTGAAGAATTTCAAAAAATGTTGGAGATGGTTTCAAGACATGGTCTTGGATTCAAACCACCTTCATATCATGAAATCAGAACAAAGTACTTGAATCATAAAATGGAGGAGACAAAGAAATTCATTGAAGAACACAAGATTATTTGGGAGAATACATGATGCACTATAATGAGTGATGGGTGGACAGACAAAAGAAGAAGAACAATATTGAATTTCTTAGTGAACAACCCTAAAGGTACCGTCTTTTTTAAAGTCCATTGATGCCACACACATTACAAAAACTGCTGATGCAATTTTTAAGATGATTGATGATATTGTGGAAGAAGTGGGAGAAACAAATGTTGTGCAAATTGTCACTGACAATGTTGCAAACTACAAAGCAGCAGGTACAATGTTAATGGAAAAGCGAAAGAAGCTCTATTGGACCCCCTGTGCAGCCCACTGCATTGATCTCATGTTAGAGGATTTTGAAAAAAATATAAAAGTACACAATGAAACAATTTCAAAAGGTAAGAAAATCATTCAATTCATTTATTCAAAGCCTTCCCTTGTTTCTTTATTACAAATTCATACAAAAGGAAAAGATTTGGTGAGACCGGCAGTTACTCGATTTTCGACATTTTATTTAACTTTTGGGTGTCTCATGGAGAATAAAGGAGGATTGATAAGAATATTCACATCTTATGAATGGACAATAACCAAGTTTGCAAAAACAAGTGAAGGAAAGCAAATTGAAGAAGTGGTTATGGATAAAGAGTTTTGGAAAAATATTGTTATTTGTTGTAATGGTGCTTATCCTCTGATTAAAGTACTTCGTTTAGTGGATTCTGATGGAATTCCAACCATGAGATTAATTTATGAGAAAATGGACAAAGCTATTCATGTATGTCATACCATCAGTTATGACATTCATATATGCACTAATGTTTTGCCATAAAATGCAGCCAATCAAAAGCACTTACACAAGTCAAGCTAATTGAACTTCTTCAAAGGTTAGAGACTCTTTTTCACACAACAAGGTTTCTTTGAAATGAACATGCAATATTGACAAGGCACATAGCAGCAACAATGCTTGATATTCACTGTCGATATTAACACCAATGTTATCCAAGTCAAGAACCAACTTGTTGTACATATCCAACTACTCAATCAAGACTTTCTATTCACTCATTTTAAATGAACACAAAGCTTGTTTCAAATAAAGTCGATTTGTCAAAGATTTGATCATATACAAATCTTCAAGTTTCATGCATACTGCTGCTGCAGTTTTCTCCTTTGGGTCCTGCCTAATAACCTTATCATAAAAGCTTAGAAGTTTAGTGTCACCTTTCTCAATCATGGTTGTCTTCTCCTTTTCTGTCAAAACTGCATAATTCAAAATCATTCACATTTGTGAATTTCTCAATTTCATACTTTATTTACGGTATTTTTCCTCCATGCTTACTGTACTGGTTTGTTGAGATTCAATGCCATTAGGTGTTTGAGAAAATATTATTTGAACACGTAATCTACTTGTGCCAATGGAAAGGAAAGATTGAAGAAGACAGATAGAGAGAATTCATAAGTTAGAGCAAGAATACTCTATTGCATTATTGCACTATTATAGATCATTCAATTACATAAAATAGAAAATTGTTTACAATTGAATTCTAACTTCCTAAGTTGTACAAGAGAGTAAGAATGTATATGTAGCCATCTAGATAAAACACACTAACAACCAAGTGAAACTAACTAACTTTTCAATAAAGACAAGTTAGTTAGTTAGTTCTGCAAGAAAAGGTAGGAACAGATACCACATGCATGGTCTACGGAGCAACCGAACCGCGCGAAGCAATCAAGTTGAACAAGAGCAGCCTGCAACACTGTCGCTCGCGTAGTAGGAGAAGAAGCTCTAGCGGAGCTCTTAATTTTCTTTACAATTTATTAATTCCTCTATGCAGAGGTGAGTCTTCAATTTTGATGTCTTTTAGAATTGTCTTTGTGTTAATTGATGAATCATCTAATTTTGTTTTAGCTTAAAAACCCGTACATGTTATTTCCCCTTGCAGCTCAAGAAGTCAATGGTATTTGATTCTACAATGCAAAAGAAAATGAAGAAGGCGCAAACGGGATGTTCGTTCGAATCTAAAACTGTTTGAATCATACATTTCTGTCATGAACTGCTATAAGATGACATCAATCTGGTATGCTTCATTAAGACTTACGCAGAAAGTGACCAAGGCTTGTTTATCCCTCAAGATACACGTGGCGTCCAATCTTGTATGAGCGGGGAAATTTTGATTCTGGAATTCTTGATTATAAGGTAGATGTATTTCCATTTGAAGCATTTTTGAATACTAATGTTGGATACCATTTTATTTATTTCATTTGCTGGTTCTTACATTTTTCCTTTATACAGCGATCCTATTTTCTTTTAGAACAGAGATTTGTATTGCAGACTGTTGTAGGCTTGTAGCAATAGTCCCACTTGGACAAGTAAAAAGACTGTTGTAGTTGTGTTTTTTATATGATTCAAACAGAGATATAAGAAATAGTAGAAAAGTGTATGCATTTTAATTATGGCAATTGGAAGGTGAACAAAACTAGTGTTATTCGCCCCTTAAAAATGCATACAAATTTAGATTAAGGCCATACTTTATTGTTTTATTATTCGAACTGAAGTTCTTGATTACATTACATTCAAAACTTATTCTCATTATTATTTAAGAAAAGATAGCCATCTCATTATTGTATTGCATGTAGCATGATCTCAATGAGATTGAGATTGAGACTGAGGGTGAACCAGAGGGCTACGGTTTCCACTGCGCTTTAACTCTGCGACTTGGCGTTGACGAAGACCAAAAGCATTTGCAAGAACCTCTGCAGGAGTGGCCTTAAACACCTGTTGCACGTGGCTAACAGCAGCTCTGTCATTTGTCTTGAACACCACATACTCTAATCCTTCTTCCTCACCAGCTTGTTCCGCCACCACAAAGTTTTGTGGTACCACCACCAACTGTCCCTTTCTCACCTTGTTGTCGAACACCGCATCTCCTTGGCAGTTCACAATCCTAACTCTTCCTTCTCCTCTAATCACGTACAGCAGACTGTTTGCGTTAATGTTCCAATGTGGAGCATATATACCATTCTGCATATACATACATGTTATTAATTAGTTCATTTAATTTCATTTTTTTCAACAATCTTCAATTGGAAATATATTGATTAATTAGAGAGTACTATACACACCCTGTAGAGACGAACATATTCAGCACTGAGGCGTAAATGGCGGAGGACTGGGAGTGTTAAACTGTTTGCAGTGCTGATACGACCAGCACGTGGGTTATAGAGGTCAGCACGTGCAGCGTCAGCAATGTTCTCTCGAATTTTGGCACTACAAATAGTTTCTTCCAAACCATTCTTTCTTCGCTCACTTCTTTGTTTCTCCTCCTCTTCTTCTTCTTCATCTTCTTCCTCCTCTCTCTGAGAATGACTTTGTTCTTTTTCTTCTTCTTCCTTCCCCCTGGGGTTGATAATGCGGAGACCTCCCTCAACTCGCACAATTTGACTCCTTTTGTCTCGTGGAGATCGAAGTCTCTTAGCTGTATCCTCTTCAATGTTGAACGTTTGTGCTAAAAACTCTGAGCTGAAGCCACTCAGCACGCTGTTACCTTCGTTTTGTTCTTCAGATTCCTCTTCTTGTTGGTGCTGTCCACTCCTACGTCCCTCCTGTGTTTCGGGGAACTCTGTGTCTGGGTTCCCACCAAGGTAAAATACCTGCATTCACATATTTACATGTGATTCATTCAGTATAACATGTTATACACTAGAAAGTTAATTTATAATAGACAATATAATGTATGGATACACTATTACTTACTCTTGGGGTTGAATCGAGCTGGTTTGCAATGTTGGAAGTGTCAAGAAGACTAATGGCCACAAGAGGTTCGTCGCCGTGGTTATATGTCCAATAAGGAATTCCCGAAGGAATGGCAATGATATCGCCTTTTCTGAATCGACGAATCTTCTGGTGACTGTCACCTTGTTGTTGCCTGGATTCTTGTCTAGATTGTGTTGAACGTGGCTCTTCATAAGTCTCGGGACAACCGGGAACTGAAAGTCCAAGAACACCCTTTCCTTGGATGATGAAAATCAACTGTGGAGAGGGTGAGAAAGATGGCAAGTGGAGTCCATTAGGGTCAATGGTGCGTCTGATAAGTGACACACCGGCGCATTTTAGCTCAGGGTTATTTGGATTCCATGTTTCAGTGAGACCAGCTTCTGACTCAACACGGTGGTCTGGTTCCAATGCATTGATGTTGTCTAGTTGGCATTGGTTGAGTCTGTCAAACTCAGAGCGAGTTGCTAAACATGCACTTGCAAAGAGTAGCAAGGAAAGTGAAAGCAAAGATAGAAAAGGTTTGGACATTGTGAGTGTGATCGTAAACTACCGATGAGAGATTTATGAGTGAACTGGTGAAATGGAGAAGCTGTGTTGTGGTTATTTATAGGAAGAGGGGAAGAGTGATATAGGAACACGTGTGACGGAATGTGTATGACATTGTTCAGCATGCATGGCAATGGAGTCCTAATTTGATACACATCATATGTGGGACGCAGCGTAGGTAGCCGCTTCATTCATTCTTAACAGATTGATAATTAGTGTATATCCAGATAGCACAAAGAGACATAATGAATATTTATTGGTATTGTTATATGTGGATGGTCCCCTTCACTGGTCTAGTTCTCTTCTCTGCATCAGAATCTATGCATTAATCTCTTTAATTCAATTATTAATTTACTGTCTAGAGAATATGTTTCACTCGACTCTTGCATATTTACTACTTTATAAACTTTAATAATTGGCCTCCTCCACTCAAAATGTACTAGTAGTGTATTACTTCCTGATATAATTTAGATAGACTTGTCTTTCATTTAGGTAAATTTTAGATTGACTGGTTATGTATTTTGCTAAATTTTCATTTCTCAGTGAGTGTTGGGGATGCTGTAAATAAGAAGATGAAGATGACATGATCATGATTACATAAACAAATTTTACCGTGTGTTAGCACATAACACAGTTAACTTTATGTTCCAATCCCTCCCATCTTTTTAGTATTACGCAACTGAGATGCAAATTTATAAATTGACAAATCTTTCAAGATCCTTTGATATGAATTACATGCTTACATCAAGCTTAATAATATTTTACTGATAAAGGTTTTTAATTACTTACTTTCATGCACTAGGTAAGAAATTATTTAAAGATGATTTGGACAAAAATTTAACAATGACTTTTGAGTACACTTACAATATTCTTATATCGTATTTATCATTATACTTTCACACGAGCCTCACATACTTAACTAAAGACAAATAGATTTGAGCAACAATTCAAGAAATGCATGAAGTGTCAATAATAGTTCTAAATTACAGTGTGCAGTTGTGTTCAAAGTTTCCACAACAATATTGCTTCTACAGTTGTTAGTTTCAATATTAGATGATATATGACATAAAAATCAATTTATAAGTGACTGAGATCTCTCATCTTATAAACCGATTTTGTTCAATTAAATTACACTCGGCCCAAAATTTAAGAGCAATTGTGGCCGCATTGGCCGTTTTTCATCACAGAATCATAATCTTCATCCTAACCGCGACTAATACTGCAATTAAGAATTTTGGCCTTAATTTTGAGTGTACCTGAGATATTGGTGTTTCCAACTAGCTTTTTTCATTTTAGGATAATGATTATTTGGTACACCATTGAGAATAATGCAACAAAAGTTGAAAGGAAGATCACTCATAAGAATAATGCAAGCAGTTATGTGTATTTCACATTTGTCTACAACTAATGCAAAAATACTAGTTAATTGTCATGGTTTTAAATTGCAGTTGTGGTTATATTCGTATTATGATCGACCTTTCATAGAGAATGTTCTAATATTTATCCACTACTGCTTAATAAGAGTCTTCCCGTGTAGTGATTGCGAGTGCTTTACCTTTAAGGCAAAGTTTCGACAAATGACCATAAAAATATCACAAGCATTAGATAGTGTTTGTGTTTTAGTTTGAGGAAAAGCAACATGTGTGAGGTCTTGATTTTTCAAAGATACTAGTCGATGGGCAGGCCAAAGAAGGCTGTCAAATCTGGTGGTGGTGGCCATGTCTGCGATGGATCAACTTTTAAAGTTCTGCACCAACTGAATGGATTAGTGCACCAAAGGTTGAAGAGAAGATCACTACTTCAGGGATGAAATTTAGTTGACACTCACAACATAACAACTAAACGAAATTCCGCAAGGAAATATAAGAACATAAACCACATGCATGGCTTGCATCACAACCAAACCACGCAAAGCAATCGAGTTGAACAGGAGCGACCTGCAACCATGGTTGTCAAGATCTCGATCATAAAATCTTACGATTTTGCAATCTCACTCACCCCCAACAATTCCGATCTTAAGTAGAATCGTGTGTTACAGCCAAATTGTGGGAAAAAATTGTAAAACCATTGATTTTGAGCGATCTTGGCCAATTCCGGCCACAATCAGTCGTTTTCCGGTCACGCTCGCCATTTTCCGGCCACCACCATTACAACCCGATAAGGTTGACAAGATGCCGAGGCACAACAATTACGGTTCGGCATAGGTCATTTTCCCACGAATACACTTCCTACCAAAATATCATCTAAAAAAACTTAAAATATTTAGTATAACTTTTTCATTTTAGTAATATCGTACTATCTTCGTTACGATCTTATGTTTTACAACCTTCCTATCCCCCTCTCTATCTTACAAAAATAATTGGGTAGGATCATCTGATCTTAGTTAGGATCTTATGTCCGATCTTGACAACCTGCAACCCTTAGGATAGCAAGATCGTGGCTTATCTTGGAAAAGCGCCATCGCTCACGTACTAGGAGAAGCAGCCCTATTGGATATCTCAATTTTCTTTACAATTTATTAATTGCACTATGCAGAGGCGGATCTTTCAATTTTTATGTCTTCTGGAATTGTCTTTTTGGGTTAATTGATGAATCCTCAAATTTTGTTTTAGCTTAAAAAGCCATACATGTTATTTCTTATTGCCGCTCAAGAAGTCAATGTATTTGATTTTACAATTCAAATGAAAGTGAAGAAACTGCAAATGGGATGTCCGTTCGAATTTTAAACTCTGAGTCATACAATCTGGTATGGTTCATTAAGACTATTGCAGAAAGTGACCATACAATTTATGGCTTGCTTATCCGTCAAGATACGTGCGACATTCACTTATGATTCTAATCAAACTTACTTTGTATGAATCTTACCTAGGTACATTGCCAAGGAGTACTTTGATGCTGGAATTCTGACGTATAAGCTAGATGTATTTGCATTTGGAATTGTATTTTAGAGTAAATAACTGGTAGAAGAGAAAAACATCAGGTTTACTTAGAGTCATGTTTATGTTTGAAGCATTTTGGATACTAATGTTTGATACCATTTTATTCATTTCATTTGCTGGTTCTTACTTTGTAATCATATTCTTTTATGAACAGAGCTTTGCATTGCAGACTGTTGTGGCCTTGTGGGCTTGTAGCAGTATTCCCTGCATGGAGTTTTTCAACTCGGCTCATTAAAGGTATTTGCAGGGAATGAAAAACATCAGGTTTTGCTTCACGAAATTGGTTTCCTGCCGATATATAATCAAATTCCGAAGGAAAAATGCAGATTTGTAGTTGTGTTATTTATATGATTCAAAAAAACAGATAAGCAATTGTAAAAAGTGTATGCATTTTATTATGGCAATTGAAAGGTGAACAAAACCAGTGTTATTCGCCCCTTATAGATGCATAAAAATTTAGATTAAGATCAGGAAAATAAGGCCATACTTTATTGTTTTATTATCGGAAATGAAGCTCTTCACTACACTACATTCAAAATTTATTATTTAAGATAAGATGGCCATCTTATTATTGCACTCCATAGCATGTTCTCAATGAGATTGAGATTCAGACTGAGGGTGAACCAGAGGGCTACGATTTCCACTGCGCTTTAACTCGGTGACTTGGCGTTGACGAAGACCAAAAGAATTTGCAAGAACCTCTTCGGGAGTGGCTCTAAACACCTGTTGTACGTGGCTAACAGCAGCTCTGTCGTTTGTCTTGAACACCACATACTCTAATCCTTCTTCCTCCCCAGCTTGTTCCGCCACCACAAAGTTTTGTGGTACCACCACCAACTGTCCCTTTCTCACCTTGTTGTCAAACACCGCGTCTCCTTGGCAGTTCACAATCCTAACTCTTCCTTCTCCTCTAATCACGTACAGCAGACTGTTTGCGTTAATGTTCCAGTGTGGAGCATATATACCATTCTGCATATGCATACATACATGTTATTAATTAGTTCATTAAATTTCATCTATTTCAATAATTTTCAAATGGAAATATATTGATTACTTAGTTAGTACTATACACACCCGGTAGAGACGAACATATTGAGCACTGAGGCGTAAATAGCGGAGGACTGGGAGAGTTAAACTGTTTGCAGTGCTGATACGACCAGCACGTGGGTTATAGAGGTCGGCACGTGCAGGGTCAGCAATGTTCTCTCGAATTTTGGCACTACAGATAGTTTCTTCCAAACCATTCTTTCTCCGCTCACTTCTTTGTTTCTCCTCTTCTTCTTCTTCTTCTTCTTCCTCCTCCGCCTCACTGTGAGAATGACTCTGTTCTTTTTCTTCTTCTTTCTGCCCCTTGGGGTTGATAATGCGGAGACCTCCCTCAACTCGCACAATTTGACTCCTTTCGTCTCGTGGAGATCGAAGTCTCTTAGCTGTATCCTCTTCAGTGTTGAACGTTTGTGCTAAAAACTCTGAGCTGAAGCCACTCAGCACGCTGTTACCTTCGTTTTGTTCTTCAGATTCCTCTTCTTGTTGGTGTTGTCCAGCCCTACGTCCAACGGGTGCAAAGTGGCTCTGTTGATGTCTTTCCTGTTGTTCTTCCTGTGTTTCAGGGAACTCTGCCTCTGGGTTCCCACCAAGGTAAAATACCTGAAAAACACATATTTACATAAGAATTGATTGAGTATAACATATTATACGTTAGAAACTTTTAAAGTTCTAATCACAAGAGCCTACTGTAAAAACAATTTATAACAGAGAATATAATGTGTAGTTACACTATTACTTACTCTTGGGGTTGAATCGAGCTGGTTTGCAATGTTGGAAGTGTCAAGAAGACTAATGGCAACAAGAGGTTCATCGCCATGGTTATATGTCCAATAGGGAATTCCCGATGGAATGGCAATGATATCACCTTTTCTGAATCGACGAATCTTCTGGTGACTGTCACCTTGTTGCTGCCTTGACTCTTGTCTAGATTGTGATGAACGTGGCTCTTCATAAGTCTCGGGACATCCGGGAACTGAAAGTCCAAGTACACCCTTTCCTTGGATGATGAAAATCAACTGTGGAGAGGGTGAGAAAGATGGCAAGTGGAGTCCATTAGGGTCGATGGTGCGTCTGATAAGAGACACACCGGCACATCTTAGCTCAGGGTGATTTGGATTCCATGTCTCAGTAAGACCAGCTTCGGACTCAACACGGTGGTCTGGTTCCAATGCATTGATATTGTCTAGCTGGCATTGGTTGAGTCTGTCAAACTCAGAGCGTGTTGCTAAACATGCGCTTGCAAAGATTAGCAAGGAAAGTGAAAGCAAAGATAGGAAAGGTTTGGACATTGTGATTGTGGTTGTAAACTACTACTGAGAGAATGGTGAGTGAACTGGTGAAGTGGAGAAGCTGTGTTGTGGTTATTTATAGGAAGAGAGGAAGGGTAAGAGAGGGACACGTGTGACAGAATGTGTGTGACATTCTTCAGCATGCATGGCTATGGAATCTTAATATGGTACACATCATATGTAGAGACGAGGCGTAGGTGACCGCTTCATTCATTCTTCACAGATAGATGATGATTAGTATATATCCATATTACCACACAGAAACAGAATGAATATTTGTTGGTATTCTTATATGTGGAGAAGCGTATGCAGATAAATGTTGCAGGAATTTGTGTATAATACAACAGTATTACCTTGTTCACAATAGACTTAATCTTATTTCTGGTATGATTTAAAATTTTACTCTTTAAAATTGAAATGATACTTTGTAAATGTAAACAAAATTATTTGAAATGACACGTCGTGAATTAGATACTCCTGTGTCATGATCTATTTTACTTAATTTTCATTTTTCATTTAAGTTAGTATGGCATTTTGTGCTGGGATGCTGCAAATGCTTAAACAACAAGAAGATGAATATGACTTGATGATAATTGCGCATAAATTTTAATGCGTATGTAGCTCGACACCTTAAACTTTAGGTTTGATTCACCCCACTAGTTTTTGCAAACCAGATACAAATGGATAAGCCAATAAATTCTTTTTAATGTACTTTAAAAGCTTTGACAGTAAATGCAGATAAACACAAAAGATGTGGCCGCAAAAACAGTTACAGATACTCTTAAACTTTATATAGCAGAAAAAAATTCTAATTATAACATAATTTACAACTATAGCTACATCACAGTTTTCTATTCCATCAACTAATGGCTTTTAGGTTCACATTGTTAAAAAACATGTGGTGGATACATAGGCAATGAAATTCAAATGTAGCTACCATGAAGTACCTTTCGAATCTTTAGCAGAAAGTAAAATGGATCTATTCTGCCATCAATTTCATGTTGGTAGCTTCTGGCCTACTGAGAGCAAAAGAATATACAACATCATCAAATCAAGTTGAAGAAAAGAAAGAAAAAAAACCATTTGCTATGATAGCAAGATGAACATTGGAACAGTGACTCGGGTTTTCGATCTATAATACATTTTCTTCCTCTTGAAGCTACTGTTTTCAACTGTTATCCTTATCTTCCCTGGTTCACTGATATAAAAAGAGTTTCTTGTACTGTCACCAACAACATTTTGGTTTTGTAGTAATATAGTGTATGAGCCTTCGTCGTCTGGAACGAACTCTTCTTTGTATGTCACATCCCATCCAACAACAGTTATGTCCCACATTATCGTCACTCCAGTCTCATGGACCGGAAATTCAATTGTAGAAACAGAACTCGCTCGGATCCTATGCTCCAAAACCTTATCATCAGCGTTGAAATCTTGGTCGTTGTTCCTCCGAAGACCGCCATATTCAGCCGGAAGATGTTCCGGGCCTATGTACCTGTGACATGCCATAATGTTAACCAGAGTCATTTTAAGTTTTTGGAGTTCCTGTGTAGGTTAGACGCAGTTTAACCATACCAAAACAAATAAAGCTCTTATTTAAGCGTGATTTAACTGTGACAATATTTTGTGACATCCTATTTAGCCACGGCTTAACCCTGACAACTTTAGACCCTATGCAGTAGCCTTCCACGCTTTTAAAGACGGTCATAGTTGAATAAAATAGTATTTACAGAATGAGACACTTGTTCATGTTATAGTTTAAGGACACTCACTTGAGGAGACTTGGTGTGACCCTTGGTGGTCTTGCAAAGATGAACTTCTTTTTGTTTCTTTGATTCAAAAGCCTTGAGAATAGCACTTGTGATGTGTAGAACCAAAATGGTGCATTTACTACAATCTGCAAAAAACGAAAAAGAAAAAACTCAAAATTAGTCTTTCTGATAATATATAAACATCTTAACTCGCGATCTAAACATTACGTATACTAACACTTTTGTAAATGATTTCCGGATAATAGTTTTGATACAAAAGAAGAGCTTTTTTGCTGATCGAATGAAGCTCTTTCATTCCTTGAAGTGGCGCATTCTTCAAATCATAAACCTGAATAATTCCATCAACTCCACCTCTAAAACACAACCTCTTAACAGCAATTTCCATCATCTGAATCCTCCACCTCAAAAACAACTCACATTTCTGTTGTGTTCCAAATGTCTTCTTATACAAACCCTTCTGTTTGTAAACCTCAAAAAGATGATAACAAACCGGACGACCTTCCTTATCTCGACTATTTAAAAATCCAACATTTTCCAAATCAGCACCCAAATCTTCATCAAGAATCTTATCAATATTATTCTTAATCCTCCATATCATTGTCTTCTGCAACATTTCAAAAGCATCACTGACTCTGAAATCTTTAGCCTTTAAGAATTTCCTCAAAATAACATCAGTACCTTCATGTCCCTTGCTTGGTAACAAAGGAACACCCCACAAAGTTAGATCTCTAAGATTTTCCTTTGTCAATGCAACTCCTTCTCTTTCACCTAACAAATAGTTTCCGAGAATCGCATCCTGAATTTTGCAACGAAACTCCAACAACGATTTCTTTATCTTGAGCTTAATCTCGGCGGGACTCGGTTCTCCAACTCCTCCGTCGCTAACTTCTCCAGCCGATTCTTGTTCTTGATCACAATCATGATAGAGATCATTATCAAGATCCTCTTCGTCCTTGTTGTTAAGGCTTTTTTGATTTTCAATGAAATCTAAAGGGATATTAGTATGATTATTATAACTGTTGAACTTATTTTCCTCTCTATCATTCATGGCCTTACAATTCGTTATAGGACACCTCTTCCCTGATCAGATTTTCCGGCAACGAGTCTTTGCCGGAAAACAAGAGCATGGAAGAGGTGGAGAGGATGGAAACGGAGCAAGAAAAAGTGAGTTTAGAAGAATAAGAAAATAGTTTTGATTATGGCAACAAAAGATGAATGTTGAGTGATGATAGATGAGTTTGTTGTATTGATAATTCTGAACCGTTAATTGAATGGCGCCAAATATAGACACTATAGCTAATTTAATTGGTTTCATTGGCAATTCATATCTTATTGCAAACAACTGTCTTCCATGCATTGTTATATATCAAATCACATCAAAATCAACTTATGTATTAATGTGTTGTTTTTTCTTTTTTTTTCTTAAAAAAGTGGATTGATTTGATTTGAACAAACGTTACAAGAAAAAGTATAAAATGATGTCAACTTTGAAAACAACCTTCAATTATTGTTTTAAATGTACATGCAAAAGTTAAATAAATTATTATTTTTTTTATAAGTTCTAACCCAAAAGAAAAAATTATGGATATTTATAATATAATAACTCCATCAAGCAAAAATATGTACCTAATTTTCCTTTATCGAACACTTTTTCTGATTTATTATTTTGGTAAAATACTTTTTTTTTATTTCAAATTTATTTTGGTCTCTTAATTAATAACGTGACAAAAATATTTTTTTGTCTACACACGTTTATTTATGCACGCGTGACAGTTAAATTGGCAATGAATAATCATCTTTATTACTAAGGTCACCAAAATTCCAAATAAAAAAAAAATCTAAAATTTTGTCTTTAGTAAAATTCAAACCATGGTTACTATGCTTACTTGAAAAAATAGTGTACCACTAGGCTATATCATGTTTGTTAGTTTGTTTCACAAATAAAATATATATTAATCAACCATATATTTTTCAACCATTCAACAAATTGCATTATGTCAAGATTTATACCAGATGCATTCTACCAGATTTATACCAGATGTGTTTTATAGCAAAACAAAACGAAAACCCAAAAGAAAACTTCTCCCAACCAAGTTCAGTTTTTGAGGATGACTCATCAACCAAAACAAAAAGAAAATCCAGAGTAAAGCTTCGACCATGAAGCTATAGGTTCTTTTTTCTTTGCATGCTTAAACATAGATCCTTGATCACTAGATTCACTACCATGAAGTCATAGGTTCCAGATCAAAGAAACTCGCAAAAAATCGATATAATCACTATAAAGTAAAATCAATAATTAAAAATAAGTTTTTTATTATGCAATTTTGCAAATCCAAACAAAACCTTGCATTTGAGCAAACTAGTTTATTAGTTATCACGAGGGAAAAGCATTTACATTGGGTCAAACACTAATCTAAATGTCAAAGACTCATCCAAACAAGTGAGAGACACACCACATATTCATCCAAAACCTTAAAGTGATATAGGTGTATGAGACATCTTGTTTATAAAGTGTTCAACCTTCACTTTTCTAAGCAATGTGTGACTTAGAATTCACTTATTTTCCCACATAAATCACACTTGTTTTCCAACACTAGTAACAAATCTTTTGAGTCTGGAATATGCTTGGGTTCTGCGTTGTTGTATATTGAGAAAATCGCGAAGCAAAAGAACGATTTTGGTTGGATCAATCACTTCGAATGTGTCATTTATCGAAATCTTCTTCCCAAAATCCAAATCTTCTTACATCGAATCGATTTTTCACTTTTTCTTTCAGTTTGTTCTTTTTCTTTCAATTTGAAAAAGAAGCTAGATGTGGATATAGAGAAGAAAGTGTTGGGTTCAGACTCCCTTCCTATGTGAAGAAAATTTTAAATATGATTAGCTCATTTGTCTACTTATTTAAGTGGAGAGGATCAATTTAGGATTGAGAGAGATAGAGAGAAAATAAGGATTCAAAAGAGAGAAAATAAGAGAGAAACTTATTCTTGTTTTTTTTACAATCGGTCTTACTAAATTGACGATCCCTGATTCATTAACCGTCGGATCGAGCTCAAATTTCGAGGACAGGTTCGCAACACCTGTATCTAACTTTTGATCATTCAGAATTTCAAAACAAGACTTCACACTGAAGCTGCAGATTTGGGTAATTTTTCAACTTTTTTATTCTTATTTGTAAGCTAGTTTTCTTCGTGATTTGTGGTTGTTAGCACTAGTTTGTGAATCACTTTA